CATAGGCAGGAATTTGTCAACAGTCAAATTGTCTCTATAATGTAAATAGTTTATCTAACTTACGCCCATCACTTAAAATGAATAGCAAACTCGTGGTTCAATGTAGAATCATCGACAAAATTATTCGGTTCGTATGCTATTCACGTTTTTTTGATGATGGCCAGGGGTGTGGGTAAACCCAACAGGGTTTCATCAATTGCGAACATGAAGGAGTGAGTAAACTCTGAAAACTCATCGGGCGTCCTTGGTGGATCAACTGATTTAAATTAAAAATACTCTTTCAAGCTCATCCGGTTTATCAGTGTCGAGCTTCGGATAAACACTTATCGTGAGATGATTTACGGATACGCGTTTTTGTTTTCCAGCTTTACGCTTTCTAAAAATTTCTCACTAATTACCTTTATGGTCAACGTTTTATCATCTTATCGGACAGAATACATTTTTTTTTGAATCCTAATAGGCCATCGGTAAACCTGATGAAATCCAGTGGAACGTTACTTATGAACGATCTAAAGCCATTACTCACTTGTCCGATGCGCTGGTAGAATTTTGCAAACACGATTGTATTCTGATTTTATCCAAATTCTTCCGTCTACCGGAAATTGTTCGAAACTGTTCGCATGCGATGGACTGATTTCATTATTCCATTTTGTCCTCTACTTCATGACAAAGGTAATGATTGAATGCTTTCAAATACTGTCCATCAACATTTTTGTGCAAAACGGCAGTATATATATATGTCTTGTATTAGGTGAATATAACCCGCCTTCAACATGACCAGGCGCCAAATATCAGTTCTCATAAAACCCACGCTACATCCGTCGAAAAATGAAAACTTAGATGATATATTCATAATCCGAACAAGGATGCAAATGAATATAGTTGTCGGTTAGCACATCCGTGTTTAGAGACTTCACACAATTGTTCGCCTAGGGATGAACCGGACTCTACGTTGGAGAAACTGGGGGTTACAGAAAAAACGGACGAAAGTCCGTTGATTTCCTATTTGTTCACAAAAGCTGCTGCGCTTTTTCTCTTTGACTGTTTGCTCAAGAAAACACATTTCGGCGAAAGCTACACATCCAAAGAAAGCAAAAAATACAAACAGACATTATTCAAAATCTTGATAGTAGGCAGAAACCCTACTCAGATATTACCATTCAAATACGAGATATATCAGTGGCGATGAAGGCAGAGGAGAAAATCACATGCGAACAGCGAAGCCATGAACCAACCAGTTCTTGTGAATAAACTCAGAAAAAAGCTTTCAGGATCTTTCCTAGAACCAATGTTTTATGTGATCAGATCCGCCGTTCGAATATCCGTCAGTGAATTCGGGAAATATACATATTTTTGAGCGCAATTAAACAACGTGAGCCGCTGATTTAGAACACGATTTCTGAATAGCTATGGATAACTTCAAATTGAGGATATGAGTGGTACTAAGAAAAATCGGTAGTCAAAAATATTTCTGTCCACACGTTAGTGACGAAATCTGAAATTCAATATAGTACCCCATATGAGGCATACAGTTGTTTAGCTAACTGATTGCCCTTGGAATCAATCGTGTTCCGGTCTCGAAGCATTCTAATCAGAACTTCTTTTCAGATAAATGGTCGTGAATGTGGTGTATTCAATCTTGGGTTTTTCATTTACTTCTCTTCTTCCCGGCGTCGAGACGGGTAAAATCGACTTTCGAATTTCTTGCTGAACGAGATTCAGTGGCAAAAAGACATAATCCACGTATATGCTCGACCTATTCATTATATTATTTATACTCCGTAGTCTAATTTGTCAACATACCATTGTCTTGAAAGAAACAAAGTTTGTTCCACCACGTACCTGGTTGTTCTGAATAACAGCAAACTTTCATGGAAAGATTCTAGACCGACAGGATTGGTTAGGGCGCAGAATGAATCATTATCTTGTGAAAAAAGGAATCAGTGAAGAGAAAAACGAACCAAGATTGGTTATGAGTTTGTATTCTATGCGAACAATGAATTGCTAAGAGAACACCCGATGATATCGAAAGTTGTTTATGATGTGCGTAATTATCGATGATATTTACGGAAATTCTCATATGCCTAATGATACTGATCACCAGTTTGGTTTCATGAAAATCTAGACATGAGTGGTTCTGTAAAGAAATTTCCGATATAACGTTTGAAAAGGCCATTTAAATATAGCGATTGGCAAGCAAGCGGTTACCGCCAGTTGTCTTCAAAATTGCATCAGAAACATTTCTTTGTTATGAGAATTTCTTGATATTAATAATATACTAAACGAAATCAGAAAAAAATCCAGATTTTTTACCTTTTGTTCGGAGTAGCTCAGTGTTCTTCCCTAAGAAAGAAGAGTTGTTACATTTTGATTACCATGAGACCATTGACTGATGCTTGAAAATTTAAATCTAGAAAACCAACAGAAATTAGTTGCTTTTCAAATGTCGAGGGATACATTTCAGCGAAGTTGTCTTAGTGAAAAATAAGCACCGATTCAGCCAAAGCAGCTCTTTCCCCTCAAGATTTATTCATACAGTTTACAGAATTCGGCATTTGATCACCCTGGGTAATTGAGTGTCGGCTTAGGGAAGAACCCTCCTCTGTGTTTCTTGAATGTACGACCCTGACATTCAAGCCGTTCTTAAGTAGGCAGGCTGTTGGTGGTCATATTGGAATACCATCAACATAAGAGTAGAATTGTACTGATGTCGGCAATGAGATTCTGTGCTCATGGAGCTTTGTCTCCTATGTTTTGTGGATCAAACACAAACAAATCCCGGGGAGGAATTCTGATTTTTGCACACCGAAATAACGCCTCCTGGTCTCTAAATAACTGTGTTTGCATATATTTGGGATCATGAAAGGATAAACACAAATATATTTCGTGATTACTACATAGATTACATCAAAGACAATCATGACAAGATCAAGGGTGAAAAAACGGTGGAGCGCTTACTTTTTCCATCATAACTTCCATGAGATAATGTACTAGAACGCGGGAGTAAAAAAAGCAAAGAAGATAATGATCTGAGCTAAGTGGTCCTACAATGACCTCTTCGTAGCGCTTTTACGAGAGTGGAACATTTCAGATGCAACCATGGAGCGCCGCTTCGATCAAAAATCTCTCAAAAGAAGAACAGAGGTACTACTACCAGTAGCGTGTGGTCATTTGGAATCAATGGTGCAGCCTCCAAAAGATGGACAACGCTCTCTTCATCAGTGAATATATATGAAAAACGTAACTACGGCAACTGAGCAAAATATATGCAGCCGTGAAAATCCGGGGGAAAAGAAGGGGGTCAAGATGTTCAAAATAGACTCCATGGATTGAAAAAAAGAACCCTTAGGAAACACCCGGGGAACAGATCGTATAAGGTTGAGACGAATGACACAATTGTTCAGCTGAGTTGAGGACATAGAAATATAAAAGGCCAATCCCTTGGGTAGCTGAAATAATTGTATATGAACCGGGAAAACTGGATACGTTACCTGAAATCTAAAGAAGATAATGTGAGGGTTTGCTTCGTTCAGAAAAATCTGAGATTACTCCATCTGCTATGACTTTATCACCGCGACCTTGGGAACAAACACGCTCATGAATTTTGATAAAAGTCAGCAGTAATCCTCAATAGTTTACTCGATGTTGTCAATATTTCTGAAAATTCGATATCCGTGTTTCAAAAGCCTCCGTCGGTATGACACTCGTATGGAATATGAACTTTGTTTGGATGCATTGAATCGCCTAAACTATATATTCTATTGACTCCACTCTAATAGAGTTCAAGATCAAATACCTTCCAAAACGAACCTGCAAAACGTGTGGCCCAATTTTTCATTCTGGAATGCAGCAGTAACTAGTCTGCATTACACAGAAAGTGTGGCTATGACTGAATAACAGATATTGATCAGATTTCATTGACGTCATAATTGAGTGTTACCTCAAGTAAAGTGGACTCCGCATGCATTCAAAATTTGCTGGGCGTAGCAACACAATTACATTCGTATCAAATATATCAGTCGGACACGGCCTATTTGCTCCTCCTCTGAGAGTAGGCAGTGAAATACAAATGTAATAGTGGAAAAATCTGTTAGCAATACAAAAGAGATTACAAACAATTTCTATCATGAGCAGAACCTGGAGGTTGTCTTTACAATCAGAATATCTCGCTGTTAAATCATGAATCTCGGTCTTTGAAGTTGTCGCTGAAATGTTTTTGGGGCATCATAAAAAAGCCGCTATTATGATTGCACTTCCAACTCGCGTTTCATTTCATTATTGGAAGCACAATGTTTCTGGGAATCAGTCTTCGCCGATAGTTTATTCACTCGTGGTCGTATTCAGATGATTCAGTCAGTGATTCTAAATTATTGCACATTGATCGATAAGCACGACATGTGCTGTTGCGTTACACTTCACGTATGGTAAACGTGCATCCTTGCTTAAACTGATTCATGATTCCACTGATAGAGCTTTTGCAATCAACTGAACTCACGGACGATATAGGAAAATATATCCTGAGGACTGACTTATTGTTTTGAACTGAACGTAGTAAAACAGTGATGCATAGTCAACAGGAAAACAAAAACCGACGGCGGTGGAACATATTGGATTGTTCAATTTTTTATAAATATGTGTGCACTATCCAACAACAAAGATGGCAGCAGTGAAAGGCATTATTTGTAATTTCAGGGTTTATAACATCTGATTAGTAGATAAATTCATGACAGAAATGCACCGCGGTGATTTTCAAACGTTGTCCCACTGGGAACATTTAGTGAAGCCTACAGAAATACGTTTGAAGGGCTAATACAATGAGCCAGTATTTTCAATCTAGTGTTCTCCCCAAATTCTGATTTAGTTATTATTTGGGCTATTGAAAACAACCATTGGTTGTCGAGGCACACACTTCCAAATAAAATTTGAAATGAATATCCACTTGAGAGACAAATTTCAAATACTCTCGTGTTCTTCATTCGCAATTTCATGGAATCATTCAGATTGTTGGTCCGAGCAATTCTACAATCTGCTCAGTAAATGTGTATCCAAGTAGTGCCAGTCGAGCGACGATCAGTTATACCAGAAAAACATTCCGTGGCCGAAATTCAGCCCACCACCATGGATAAGATAGGAGAATCAATGAGGATTTACTTCTTAATTTCCAGTGAACTGCACGAAAGTTCTCGTACCGTCGTCCTGGTTGGAGATTATGCATCCGGTTACAAATCCATTGCTTTTGATTCCGAACTGCACGGGGCTTGGAAGACAGCACACTCATATATGAGAACTCGGTACTTGATGAACAATTCATAAAGTTGTGTCAGATACTGCTTTTGTCATTCAGTCCCACTAATCCGTAATGATCTACATGCATATATTCATGACAGTGGCTTTTCTGAACAAATTGGTGTACCCATCAACTCCTTCAGTCATTCTGCTTTTAAATTTTACCAGTCTGGCCTCGTTTTTCCAACTGAATCTTCGGCACTGCGCATCATTCATGTATCCTAAAATGAACCTTATACGTATTTCGAAGCCGTGTTAAACACTAACCTTTACTGTTTTCCCGTCGTCGAATGTCAGCGGGAATCACTCTGCCCTTTTTTCAAATTTGAAAGCTTCGGAAATCCAGTAATAAATTTGCAGTAACTTTTTCTTGTGTTTACTAATGCATTACTCTTTTGCTTCCAAGTTTTATTTTCATAATCAGCAAAGGTGAATTTTGGTCTCGTTTGAGTAACTATTTTATTCATTTGCATATTTTTCAGTACAATCATTTAACTATTCAACAAGGCATACGATTTTCACGTTAACTGCTGTGAGTAGCCAGGTGGTTTCACCTCAAGTTGCGAATGATTCACCTTGAATGACAACGGCCCTAATTCAAATGCAAATGGTTGGAACCCTAACATCTTTTGAATTTCTTCATTCTTAGAGGTTGTTTCCTAACTAGGAACCACGTCCAGCAATATTAGTTGACCAAATACTGGTCACAATATCACCAAGTTACCCCAGCAATTCGCAAAATTCCACGTACTTTTATTTGGATTCGTGGTCCACGCTCTTAGAAATCATTCACTGACCTTGTGACAAAAATGTGAGATGGGTAAAGCTAGTCCGGTTGGTGCAGCTGAATCTGGTGGCACGCTGTCTGAAACTATAGATACATTTTTGACGTTTTTCAGTGGTCAAATCCCTCTGATTTTGCTTGGATCGAGTAAACAGTGCTGTTATTGGGCTAGTGGTTATCTCCGATGACACCCCACATCCAGGAGTCCGTACAAAATATACCTAGTGGTATGATCCGCAACGCCGGAAGTACGGGTAATTTACCCGTTTTTCCTTCGGGAGCATACGGAATATCGTGTCAATACCGACACTTGGTTAGACCCTCATTACATTTTATTTGTGCACAGTGGGAAGAGTGTAATTCAGGGCATTGGAAAACCTGCAGTTTCATCCAAAGGCCTAGTAAAGAGTAGCAGATAAACAAAAACGTTGTACATTTGGTAGGCTCGTGTCTGCAAGTGTACGCAGTTTTTTCCTGTTCCGATACAGAAGGAAATGAAACGTTTAATCTCAGTGTATGTCAGCTATAACAGAGATTATCCATGCTTGGTTATTCAACTTATGTGTTTCTTGCGAAACGTTATCACTCCGGGGATCTTAAAGCATGCTTCAAAATGCTGACGAAAACTTCTTTGCGGAATTCGGGCTGTTGTTGTAAAACGAATCATCGATGCCTCACTTGAAGCGGAGGCTGTGTCTTTGATATCTGAATCCCGCTTATTAAAAAGCCTAAATGATCTGTTCAGTAATTCCAAATGCGTCTACCATAGTGATGTACAGGTCTACAATTCACTCAGTGATCTCACCTTCCGAAGCATAACATTCTATTGACTGACTAATTCAATTTAGCTGATTGAAATTTTTCTGTGAACTGATGTGATTTGGGCTAATATGCAATGATCATTAGCCAACAACCGCACCAGCTTATGATACTGCCATTAGAACACAAATTGTAGGTCTGGGGTGATATTTCCGGACAGAAATTGATTCTTTCAAAAATAAGAATGGTGAGAAAATCGTCCATTTTACCAAGGTACCACACTGGGAGCACCGCGTTGATCCTAATTGACTACCGGTAAAAGATCAATATAAAAATGTGTAAATAAATGAACTGCTGATACCTAGCCGGAACAAAACATCTTTGTTTTAAACTCACTCGACTCTGGAATTTTAGATTATGCGGAAGAAGTTGGAAACTTTAATTTACTTTTGTGCTTGTACAATTAGAAGAATGTGTAGGTTGATAGCAGTAATGTGGTTCATACGACTAATATGTTTTGAAATAAAGGCCATGCCAGGCATGTACCGAAGTGCAGGTAAAAAGTTATTTATACTGCAAATTGCTTGATATGTTGCGAACAATGCAGTCGATTTATCTTGGAAAAGCGGTATATCACGGTTGCATAGTGTTCCATAAAGAGAATAAGACTATTTGCTAGTTTAACATGTACTTATCAAAACTTGGCCTGGATATAATTTTTTTGTCCCAGGTATTGTGAGTGAGCGGCTAAATTAAAGATCTCTGTATTGATTCATTGTCGTTGTGTAAGACCAGAGATCCTAAGAGCATGCCAATAATTTCCATGATTCATCCTTTTCATAAAGCTGACGGCGTAACTAAGATATCGTTTGATAATTTATTCTGACGTTTGGACGTAGACTTTTGTAGTATAGTTCACTGAGCTCTGTCCTGATTTGTGAAACTCTTCAGAAGCAATGACATTTGATTTTGCAATGGTATATTCGACGTCAGATGCAAAGGACTGGGAAAACTTAGGTCGTGCCAAAAATAGTCATCTTGTTTATCAGATGTGTAATACAGTACGGAAACGTTGTTAGATATTCGCGCTATTTATGGAGCAAAAGTTTGTGGGTATTAGAAGATCAATCGGAAACTCGGTAAAAAAATGCAAAAATAGACACCTGGTTAGAGAGTCTCGGGTTGCGTGCTGGAGAAGGATCAAAATTGAGAGATGCTACGAAATTCATACGATTGCTTGCAAATTTATTGTAATTCAAAAGTTATATGAACGGTGCAGAAGCAATATCAAGGAGGCAACCAATATGAGAAGTTATTGATCTAACGAAAAGAGTACGCAAATTCAAACGCAAATATGGCATGAAACAATTTCTCGAAACTATACGTAAAGGTTATCATTTTCAGCAAAACATTAGCAAATGATCCACACAGCTTACCCATGTTACCGATTTCTGCTCGGACAGCAAGTTAATGAAAGTGGAATGGTAGACAATTTTACTAAACTGTCAAATACACCCGATGGATTCAATATTTCCGAACACCTGAGAAATGCTTATTCCATTCCTACCAGTGTATTTTATTACGGCTCGCTTACTGCCAACGAGTAAACTGTGACAGTGGTAGTGATCATGAAGACGAAACAGCAGTTTTTGATTGAGCCGATATGAAGATACGTAAAATTGATCTCCTTTCTTCGGCCGCCTGTTGAATGAAAAATAAAAGCAATTGAGCGACGAAATGAAAAAACGAGGCATCGTTGAAAAGCTCGTGGCCCACATTTGGAGTCACCTTCCAGGGAGCAAACATACAACATCGAAAATCCGGTTCTTAAGACGTTGCAACAACCCAGACTCATATAATTGTGTGAGGTGTTTTACCTGAACATTCAAAAACATTCTCCGCACACGCCATATTCTGGTAACGGCCGTGCTAGTAAATGCATCTGATAGACAGAAGATGGGCAGGAAGCTATTCAAGGCATCTCTAAATCAAAAACCTTTCGAATATTTGAAGAAGCTTGAAAAAATCAAATTCCTTTTCATCTTTTGTCTCAAATTAGCCAAATATTTCAAGGTCACGTACACGGAGTTGTATGAAATACTTCACAGAATTTCTCAGCCAACTATACAGCCTATTCGGGTTGTTTATCAGGCCTTAATGAACCCATCAACAACCGTGCGCCGAATCAACGACGTCAGGCATACAACGTAAAGGGAAAAACAGAAAATGGGAACAAAATGGATCAATGTTGCTGGGAATATGATAGTGCTTGTCACCTTGTGAAATTTCACCAGGTTGGAAACAGTTAATTTCACTTGTGGTGGCAGTCTAATTCTTCATTTTATTGTTCTAACTGACCATGTATTTGCCAGGCTCTCTTTCATCCACATATTCCATACACATTTGTCCATCACGCTAAACAACCGGATTTCAATACAATCAATCATTATTAATGAAAACTCCGTCTGGTCTTTTCACAAGGGACACATTGCCGAATGATCCAAAATTAGGGCAGACAACAATTATCATCATCTCAGAATCACAACACCATCCGCTGACTCGATTGTTCGACTATATCGTTCCCGTCACACTCTCGTTCTGCCGTTTTAGACCCTGGACTAAAACAGTGTCACTCGCACCCCTCGGTTATGATCGTGGAGGAATCTACAACGATGAGCCTTTATAAGTGACGCCTTTTCGTTCTGATCGTTTTTCTGGTTGTTGAAACCTGGCTTGCAGAAGAGCATTCAAGCACCCAAAATCACGTTATGAATGACGTGTAGGAAACAATTTTTATGGAATTATTGTAAAATCTCTATATGTTATCGCCGTCGGAACGTTTGCTTTGATTTTCTCTGTTCGGTTTCCTCTGAAATGTGACGAGACAGCCGCAAGTTAAGATTGAAAAGTCACAACTGATGATTAAAAATAACAGGTCACCTTTTCTAACTATGAATCATCATGCCATATGAACATTTAAATCACTACTACCAGTACCATTCTTACTAGTCCTTACCATTCTCGAGTTGAACCGTTGTTTCACGACTCACGATAGTTCCCTTTTCAGCAATCAACTACTTACCAAGTATTATATACGCTCACCACACTTGGAAAGATATGCTTCTGTTTTTGATGAGAAATCGGAAATGCTTCAGGGAGTGAGGGCATTGAACGTATGCGAATCCATAGAACCTGTGGCACCACCGATAAAGTCTATTCCATAGGCAGTTACAGATGGATTTGATCACGAGCTGAACATTCTCACATGAGAAGACGTCCTGGTTAGAACCGATCAAC